TTAGGTTAAGACACTTTCTGGGCCGAGCGCTGCGGCCATGGGTTAGGTTAGTTAAGACACTTTCTGGGCCGAGCGCTGCGGCTAGGACAAGCTAGGCAGCTTTTAACAAAAATTTAGTGGATTTTCAAAATTAAAAAAAAATTTATTGAAAATCGAATTTTGATGGAGGCAAATATTTGAAATTTTAATCATTCATAAACCTTCCCTGGGGCCACGTGAGGTCCCACACAAAATTTGGGCCTGATCGGTTTAGCCGTTTTGACGTTAATGGACACAAACAAACAAACAGACAAGCTAAATTTATATATAGATTTAATAGCATTTACTTTTTAGAATATGGTATATGTATAATTCTAATAGTTTCTTGAACCGACATTTCGTTAAAAACGTTTTCACTTTTGCATCGTTTCTAGATCGTTTTTGGATCGTTTTTGGATCGTTTTTGGATTGTTTTTGGATCGTTTTTGGATCGTTTTTGGATCGTTTTTGGATCGTTTTTGGATCGTTTTTGGATCGTTTTTGGATCGTTTTTGGGTCGTTTTTTGCATATATATCTTCTGACAGAGTCTAAATTTGACATTGTGTTTAGAGTAACAAAATTTAAAAGTATTTGCGTTTTTTAGTTAAAAATTCTGAAGGTGAGACAACTAGATGTATTTTTAAACAAATCACGCGAAACCATCTTGAGCTGAGTGTGTCCAGATAGTATTAGAATAAACCCATCCACGTTTTCAACCGCTGTTAAAAATCCAACCCAAATAGTGAAATATGTAGATCTCAAGTTCTTTGTAATCAAAGCGTATCGACCAACAGAAAAGTAGAAGAGACATAAAAAAAACGATAAATCTACATTTAAAAAATAGTGAAAATGGGACCAAAAATAAAGTCTCACGGACAACAGTACAAAATTTGAAATAAAAATAAATGTAGACCCATAACTATTAATCAATCAACACAGTACGTTTTTCCTCAAAGTGGCAGTCCCTTTAAACATGTCTTGTCCCCTCCTAGGAGGAGGATTCGGTCCCTTTAAACATGTCTTGTCCCCTTCATAGAAGGAGGGTTCGGTCCCTTTAAACATTTCTTGTCCCCTCCTAGGAGGAGGGTTCGGTCCCTGTAAACATGTCTTGTCCCCTTCATAGAAGGAGGGTTCGGTCCCTTTAAACATTTCTTGTCCCCTCCTAGGAGGAGGGTTCGGTCCCTTTAAACATGTCTTGTCCCCTCCTAGAAGGAGGGTTCGGTCCCTTTAAACATGTCTTGTCCCCTCCTAGAAGGAGGGTTCGGTCCCTTTAAACATGTCCTGTCCCCTCCTAGGAGGAGGGTTCGGTCCCTTTAATTATTTTTATGATTGGTTTTTGTTCCAGACATATTGGTTCCGAATCCATACCTTTGGTCTCATTATAGGTTAAAGTATTCCTAATCCCTGTAATCCTAGACAAACTTTAAACAACAAACTTTTTAATGATCCATTACCCCTCCCCCCCTTCCCTCTCTACACTTTTTTCTTTTATGCTTTCTACAAAGTTTTGTCTGATCGAATAAAAAGTATATAATCATATTTATAATATTGAAAATCGATTATTTTCAACTGCGGTTTCTCTTTTTCCAAAAGTGCATATATCTATAAATATATATATAAATAATTTAACCCTTATCAATGTCCAAGTCGGGCCTTTTAGGAACAGGGCTAAACGGAAGTTTTTTTTAATTAACGGAAAATTCCGAATTCGGTGAACGGACGGAAATATCCGTTCAGTTTCAACTGAACCGTCTCTGTTTAGTTTACGAATAAATATAATTGTGTTTTAATAACGGAAATTAAATCAATTCCTTTAAATTTGAATTTTTTAACGAACCAAATCAATTCAGCTTTATTTGCGACGTTGTAGTTGACATACTAATTAGTTTTTTATCCAAACATTTTTCATTCATGTTTTTCTTGGAAACATTTCTTGATTTTTAATAAGAATCTTTAGAAAATATTTAATTAGAATAATTATTAGATTATATTATCTACGAAAACTATAATTGATGAATAGATTGTTCTATAAACTCGATGTGATGTGCAACTCTAAATTATAAGGAACCTTAAAATTTTGTTCATTTTATCAAAGTTACCAAAAAGAATTTCGAAATTAAGAAAATTTTGTTAGAAAATAAGGATTAGATTTGAATTTTTGTCAAAGACCCTTTTTATATTTTTAATTTAATGTTTATGTAATGTTCAGAATATATGCATTCTTTTTTTTTGTTTATTTTCTTTAAAAAATAAAGGTCTGAAAGAAACTGCCTTTTTTTAGTGCAAATTTAATACAAGAAAGCCGACGGGAAATTTCTGAATTAACAACTTTTCAAGCTAAAAAAAAAGATATTATCTTTCACATTATTGATCAAGGAAAGGTTTCAAGGGTACCGCTGTCAACGGGACTAGCACTTGATGCACGGATGGTTACTTGAAACTATACGTGAACAGTCCCTTTAAAGGGATTTAAACGTAATTTGGAAAGCTGCATGTCCCGTTCACAACAGTGCCCATATACAAGCTTTGTCTGATCAAGTAAATATGAATTAAATATGAATGGTTTTGTGTTAAAAAGTGACTTACACTCTGTGCACTTGTTGCTTCAGAAATATAATGAAGAAATTATCAGACACTCTTCAAGCTAAACACGACGTTATTATATTGATCAGATTCATGATTTAAGACTGTTGGATATCGGACATGTCCCTCTTTAAATGTCGGGTCACTTGAAATTACGAGGACAGTCCCTTTAAATTCTTCCCTTTTTTCGCAAAGACTCTATTTTCTAGCTTATTTGAATAATCTAAGATCAGAATGAATAGGCGACCAAAATGAAAGTGGGGTTATACTAAGTGGTTAAAAGGGAGAATTACATTTAGAGTATGAATAATGTTCATGAATAAAAAGAAAGATGTTGATAGTGCTTCTTAGAAATATGTATTCCCCCCCCTCTCCCAATAAATTATGATTCCTACAAAAAAAGCATTGTATTATTAAAGAAAGGGGTTAATTTCTATTTTTAACCGAGCTATTTTATTCACTACCTCAACTTTTTTAATAAAAAAAGTATAATTATAAATTTTCATTTTTAATTTTTAAAAGTTTAATTAAAGTGTAAATCATGAAAATATAACATTCAAGCCTTTTAGGGTGCTTCGCACCCATCATTTATTTTAATTATGAACATGTTCTCTTTGTATACATCGTAAAAAAAAAAAAAGTTTGCAGCTTTTAACAAAAATTTAGTGGATTTTCAAAATTAAAAAAAAATTTATTGAAAATCGAA